TGAGTGTCAACCACTTATCAGAGATATGGTTTGCAAAAACTTTATTTTCATTTTGGAAATTGCCGGTTCAGCATGATTCTCTCTCTGATGGAGGAAGAGGTGAATTTTCATGATGTTCAGGGGGTTCGGGTTCCGCTTGGGCAGGCGGGACCTCATTTATACAATAAATCAAAAAATCAGCCGGGCATGGTAGCGCGCGCCTGTAGTTCCGGCTACTCGGAAGGCTGAGGCGGAAGGATCACCGGAGCCCAGCAGGTCGAGGCTGTGGTGGCTGGGAGCGGCCACTGCACTCCAGTCTGGGCGAAAGAGTGAGACTCCAACTCAAAAAAAAAAAAAAAAAAAAATTTTATCTATGCTTTTTTATATTTCTGAAATTACCTTTATTAGCATGCACTACTTTTACAATTGGAGTAAAACACAATAAATTATTTCTAAAATAAAACAATCAGAACTGTCTGTTGTATTCTGGATGATGTAAAGTTTCTAGCTATTGTTTTCTGGACTTCAGAAAGCAAGCAGGAAAGAGCCCTGGCCAAATGTGATCTTCAGTCTAAGTACACAGCCTTTTAGGAACTTATATATCCTAAAGGCGTCTTAAAGTCTGGATGCTTCCTCACTTCGGGAGGGGTGTGCCAAGGTCATTAATATCATTCTCTGAGTCCTACTACTCCTATGTGACTGTTGCCTGGGCAGTGTCCTAAGGAGAGAGAAGTAGAGTCAGTTATGGGACCCAGTAGAACTCTAGGTGGAAGACTCAGTTTTTAGTGTGTAAAGTCCTGCAGCATGCAGTCTCTGAAGGAGTTCATTACCTAGCCTAGAAAATGTTGTGCCCAGCTGCAGGGATGTGACAAGTACAGCCTTCTTGGATTAGAAGGAGCACAGCAGAGCCGGGCTCGGTGGCTCAGCCTGTAATCCCACGCCTTTGGGAAGCTGAGGTTAGTGGATTGCCTGAGCCCGTAGGTTCAAGACCTGCCTGGGCAACTTGGTGAGACCTCATCTCTACAGTAAATCAAAAATCAGCCAGGCGTAGTAGCACGCACCTGTAATTCCGGCTACCTGGAAGGCTGAGGTGGAAGGATCGCCGGAGCCTAGTGGGTCGAGGCTGCAGTGACCAGGAGCGGCCACTGCACTCCAGTCTGGGCGACGGAGTGAAACTCCAACTCAAAAAAATAAAAAATTTTTAAAAATTAAAAATAGAAGGAGCACAGCTAAATCATTAGAAGGCATTTATGATCATCCATGACACCCCAAAGGTGAATTTTATTCCTATATTGACCTTTGCATATTAGAATACAAATGAGGCCAAAATGTTAACTTTATGCTGAAAGGGTTCATGGGCTCCATTCTCTGCTAAGGCCGTAGACTCTAACCAGGGATGCCCTTGTGAGATTTTTGCTCATCTAGTTATTCAACATCATTAAATGCATACTATAAGTTGGGCTTTTGAGGACCAGGGCATGCAGTAATAAACTTCTGTCCTCAAGTTGTGTATACAAGTTGCTATTCAAATAGGTCAGCTGGGTGCAGTGGCTCACGCCTGTAATCCCAACACTTTTGGAGACCTTGAGCCCGAGTTCAAGACCAGTCTAGGCAACGGAGCAAGACCTTGTATTCTTTTCTAATAAAAAAAAAAAATAAGGCCAGGTGCAGTGGCTCATACCTATAATCCTAGCACTTTGGGAGGCTGAGGTGAGAGGATTGCCTGAGACCACAGGTTTGAGACCAGCCTGGGCAACTTGGTGATACCTCATCTCTACAATAAATTAAAAAATTCGCCGGATGTGGTGATGCTTGCCTGTAGTTCCAGCTTCTTGGAAGGCTGAGACAGAAGGATCGTCTGAGCCCAGCAGGTCGAGGCTGCAGTGGCCATGAGCATGCCACTACACCACTACAGCCTGGGTGACAGAGTGAGACTCTAACTAAAAAAAAATATACAGTTGTGATAAGGACAAGCTACTTGAGACCACTTGGAGAGATACTTCTACAGCCTTAGAGCTTCTGAGGAAGGCTTCCAAGAGGAGATATTTAGGTTGAGTCCTGAAGGACCAATAGGAGTTAGCCAAGGGAGACAGTGAAGGGCATTTCGGACAAAAAAAGGACAGCATGAGCAATCACCCAGACGGAGGGCAGCATGGCAGACCAGGGAAATCCCTACCACCCTACACTATGGCTGGGGCAAGGAGTTCAAGTGGGGAAGACATGGGAGAAAGAGCTGGGGCTTGCAAGACCTAGTAGACCACACTATGAGGGACATGAGTAGCCATGAAAAGGTTTTAAGGGGTTAGAATGAGATGAGAGCCTCTCAGTAAGAAATGGCAGCTGAGGGGAGTGGAGAAATGGAGTAGAGGAGGAGACAGAGTTAATTTGTCTAGAGAGCAGCTGCAGAGTAGTAGGGGAAGGAAATGGAGAGAGGGAGCGATGTGGCAATGGCTGCCATTATGGGGGAACTTGTGGGAAAGGTATCCTTAACTAAGGGAACAGTGTAAGAAGTATCACTGTGTACTTATATAAGCTCCCTATTGACTTCATAGATTCTTTTGTTAAAAATCTACATTATCCACGAATGATTTCAGAGTTGCATTCTTACTGTTCTGATTAATATGTCAGTGTTCTCAGATTCGTCTAAA